CGCCCCCGCCTCCTCTCCCGCGTAGCGACCGCCCCGCTGCTTCTGCGAGGCGAAGGCGAAAGCGATGCTGGGAGCCGGGGATCAGATGGGGGGGTCCCCTGCTGGTCCCGGCCTCCCCAGACACTGCCGCTTTGAAACGCTGTGGGAGCCTGGAGACACCCCAGCTGGCCCCGGGCTGCATGGAGCCGGGGTCTGGTCCCGGGCTCTGCCGTTTTGAAGTACCTTCTTCTCTCCCTCCCCCCCTTCCTGGTAGAGCAGTGTTTCCCAATTTTATTTGGCCATAGATCCCTTTTAAACTCGAAATCCCTGACTAACTGCGCACACAGTGCTGAGGAGAGACATCATGGTCCCCTATTTCCAGCTAAGCTGACATTACACAGGGACACTTACCGTGGTGCAAACAAATGAAAATTGTTCTCAATAAAATGAATAAATGCTTAAATATGAATTATTTTTTTTTTTAAATAATAAAATGTTATTGTAATGAAATTTTCTCGCGAAACCCTTATTTTCACTTTGCGGAGCTCTAGGGTTCCAGGGAACACCATTTGGGAAACCCTGTGTTAGAGGCAGCAATGGGGGGGAGTGACTAGTCAACTAGCCTGTTGACTATCCAATAAGCAAAATGTTTATCGGCTAGTTTGACTAGTCCTTCACATCTCAGGCAGCTGAGCCTTGGCATCAGCCTCAAGCACTCCTCTTTTCACCTGCTGGCTTGGCCCACTCCCCTGCCAGTTGGTGCTCATGGCCCAGCTCAGCCATCAGCAGAGCCAGGGCATTAATTTCCCCCCGAGGCAGATGGGTTACAACTTAAGCGAGGCTTGACATGAATTAACTGCCCTGGTGTATTTGCCCTCGTATTGTTCGCCACCAAGTTCTTTGTCTTTCAGCCATGCTGGAGTCAGTCGGAGCATTGCTTTAGTGACGGCCTATTTAATGAAAACCAACAATCTCACCTTCGAAGAGGCTTATGCCAAGATCAAGGCTATCAAACCTGATGCCAAGTAAGTTATTTGTCCTGCTAAGATTCCTGTCTTTTCTTGTGCGGACTAATGTGTACGATCTCCACAGCCTGAGGAACAGGCCTCTGACTTTCCCTGTGGTTCCAGAATGAACGAAGGCTTTGAGTGGCAGCTGAAACTCTATGAAGGAATGGGCTGTAAAGTTGATGTGTCCAGTGCCATTTACAAACAGTATCGCTTACAAAAGGTTACAGAGAAATATTCTGAAGGTAATGTCTGACATGCTGCTTACAAAAGGTTACAGAGAAATATTCTGGTGAGTGAAGGTAATGTCTGACAGTGTGTTCAGGGGAGCTAAAGACCTATAGCTAAGAGTAACTGAAGACTAGACTGACATGATTTTCCGCAAATGCTTTTAACGGAAAACTTAAAAGCATTTGCGGAAAAGAGCATCTAGATTGGCACGGACGCTTTTCCACAAAAGCACTTTTTGCAGAAAAGCGTCCGTGCCAAACTAGACATGCTTTTGCGCAAAAAAAGCCCTGATCGCCATTTTCGCGATTGGTTTTTTTTTAATCAACAGAATTGCTAAACTCATCTAGATTAAAACCAGCAGTGTGTAACGAAAGGACTGGTTCAGACAGCGCTAATATATTCAGTCCTGGATCAGGTACCTGCACTAGGAGATAGGTAATACACCATCCTTGTACACCTTGGCTGTGTCTAGACTGGCAAGTTTTTCCGCAAAAGCAATTGCTTTTGCGGAAAAACTTGCCAGTCTAGACACAGCCAAGGTGTACAAGGATGGTGTATTACCTATCTCCTAGTGCAGGTACCTGATCCAGGACTGAATATATTAGCGCTGTCTGAACCAGTCCTTTCGTTACACACTGCTGGTTTTAATCTAGATGAGTTTAGCAATTCTGTTGATTAACATCAGTGTATCTCAGAGCAGCTGCTCAAATACCATGGTGATTTGACCATGTAAAAATCTTGATAGTCAGAGAACTTTGCATGTTTGTATAAAATTTTGTGCACTGGAAGGCATCTGTACACCTGGACAAGATCCAGATGTGCTATTTCTAGATACAAAGCTTCTTGTAATTAGCACAGTGGAATTCCCCTTCTTTGGCATGAAAGGGTGAAGCTCAGCTCTTAGGGCTGGGATGGGCAATTACTGGCCCCTGGGCCAGATCCAGTGTACCAGGATTAGTCTCTGGCATCTCCCCCCTGCCCCATATTTACCTGCCTCTCCGCAGTTTATGCGGGATCATAGTTCCTGTTGGTAGCAGATTGTTGTTCCCAGCCAATAGGAGCTGTAATCACCTGAACCTGTGGAGGTGCAGGTAAATATAGTGGCAGCAACCCACCAGGGGCTAAGCCACTGGCCCTGGGGGTCAATTAAGTGTTCAGCATTTCTCCTATCGACCCCATGCAGTAGAGATCTCCCCGCACTCAACCTATTATTTCAACTGCCGCCACAGTATTCATGTAGCTGGAGTTGTGTAGGTTGATATCACTCCATAGTGTAGAACCACTCTCAGGAACCTCCTAAGAAGGGAGAAGGTGTGGGTAGGAAGTGTGATGGCAAAGCCATAGTGCTTTAATTACAAATCTGTGAATGACTGATTTATATCTCTCCCTCTCTGTAGAGCTGCAAAACTTACCTCAAGAAGTCTTTGCAGTTGACCCAACCAGCGTTTGTCAAACTCTAAACAGTGAGATTCTCTACAGGTGCAGAAAATGCAGGTATGGGGTGTTTCATTTCTCACAAAGTTTTACTTTAAAATAGCTTACAAGTTATTTGCTTTGTGTCTCAGAACAGAAATACACCCTTAAGACATTTTCAATCAAAAGGATACAGTACTTTCCTTTGCCTAATCTTTGTTTCATGATCATAAAGTCTTTCAAGCTCTGAAATCCCATAGAACCTATAGAGCTAAGTATATGCTGGCCATGTCCACATTACTGTCTATAAGTAGGCACAACTCCACTTACGTTGTTCCAGTTTACACCAAAACTAAAACTGAATTTACTAAATTGAAACTGCTCAAAATCTCAGCGGGGGAGCCATTTTAATCTACATCCACAAAAACAATGAGGAGGCTTGTAGCACGTTTAAAGATCAACAGTTACTTGGGCATAAGCTTTCATGGGCAAAACCCCACTTTGTCAGATGCACCTGACTCTGAGTTTTACCCATGAAAGCTTATGACCAAATAAATCTGTTTATCTTTAAGGTCCTACGGGGTTCCTTGTTGTTTTTGCTCAAAATCTGACACTCCCACCCTCTAAGATTCTTTTCACTCCATAGGTCCATAGCTAATCTTGTTAAATTTGGCCTCTTGATCATAGGAATTTATCCTATTTCCAATTTTCTAGCTGTATATTTCCCAGACATATGTACCTAGATGATCTCGTGTTTCATTAGCTAGGAGTTTGCTAAAAGTAGCTACATAAGCAACAAAATGTAACTATGGGAAAAAGACCCAGGGCTGCATATTAGATATGCTGCGGTTGGGAGGAGGCCTAAAAAGGGACAGCCTCCATTGACCCCTTCAAATGAAAAAAGAAAATATAGATTGTATGACTCCAGTCGTTTGCTGGTGCTACTACTGCCTAGTGCTATATTATTGTCCAGGTTCTAGGGATGTAAAATCCTGTTTAATTGATGAACTGCCTGAATGTTATGTTTAACCACCCCACCCATGGGCAGCCCCCCCACCTCAGACAAGGGCTGCTCCAGCCATCTGGACTAGCCTCTGCATCTGGTGGGAAGGGGTTGGGGCTGCCACAGACAGGGGCTGCTCTAGCCAGCTGCCTAGAGCAGTCCCTGCCTGAGATGGGCCCTGCAGGCCTGGAGCAGCCCCCTGCCTATGGCAGATGATGTAACGGTTCACATCCCTACTGGTTACCTTCAGCTTTTCTCTCTCTTCTCTCGTGTTCTGGAGGATAGACGTTCCCTCTTTCGTAACTCAAGCATTTTGGCCCACACTGAAGGAAGTGGACCAGCAGCCTTTGCTCACAAGAGGATTACAGATCCTGCTCAACTTCGTAATGACAGTCAGGTCAAATGTACCTCTTATTTCATTGAGCCGGTACAGTGGATGGAGCCAGTTTTGTTAGGAGTGATGGAAGGACAGGTGAGAGGAACAAGCACTTGACATTGTTACCTATGAAACTCCCTTAAGAGATGTTCTCACTTTTTAAACATTGTTTCTGTGCATCTGACCACACTCCTTAATATTGCCTGGTTTTACTGTTCTTGTGCAAGGTTGCTGTTACAGCTACAGTCCTTTCAGTCTTCACCATCTCTGAAGCTCATTAATAAACTGTAAATGTCATCTTCTCCCACCTAGTACAAGCAGCAGAGCTCCAATTTGGCAACAGTCATCAGGAGCCATTGGCCAATAGAGGGTGATACCCAAAGTAGACTGCTTCAGGTATCCTCCATGACAACAGATGATTAAGTTGTTGGACACCTTTTAATAACTCCACTGAGTAAAATTGTAAAATATGCAGCAGAAGGTGTTTTCAGAGAAACCTTGCAGAATTTCACTCACCATGTGAAAGGTTTCAGATTTTCTTTTGGTAAACTAGGTGGTGGGTTTTTTTTCTTTTTCCCCCCATTATCACCAAAATGAAGGATGGTAAGTAGATTTGATGCCTAGACTGGTGAGCCTTCATGATAGTACTAAGTTAATCCATTTCTTTGCTGCTTTCTCAGCTCTCTTCTGCCCTCTTAAAATCCCAACTTGACATTGAGTGAAATTGTACTGTCCCACATTCTGGACAAAGATGATTACATTATTCTATCTACAAAGTGCTCCTAATCAATTTCACTTAAAACTTTCCCTGTCTTTCAAACTTTCTGTGTACTTTCCCAGGCTGTTTTAATGGATTCGCATTCTTTCCCCATTTGTGTCCTTATGCCAAGTCATTTCAAACAGTTTCACTATTGTAGATGCTAACCCTCCTTTACTGTAGTTTCTGCTGCCTGGAGTAGCTTTCTTTCTCCCCATATCGTTTGACTTTTCATTTCAAACAGTTTCACTATTGTAGACGCTAGCCCTCCTTTACTGTAGTTTCTGCTGTCTGGAGTAGCTTTATTTCTCCCCATATCCTTTGACTTCACTTATTTTGTCCCTCTGCTATTTATACAACTGCATTCTACTATGTAGAGTATTTTGGGATAGTCTCACAGCATGAAATGCTATGCACAATAAGGCTTTATTGCAGAAGTTCTCAAAATATGGGTCATAGAGTCTGTGGTCTGGAGGGCCAGATCTTCAAAAAAAGCTCCGCTCCCTTTTAGGTAGCTGAAAATCTGGTCACTTCATTGAAGTGCTTGAGACTTGCCATTTATAATTGAAAATAATGGGAAATGCTAAATGTTGAGAACTTCTTGAAATCTGGCTATTGTGTTTAATGCTAATCAGAAGATAAGTTGTCTCCTCCTGGCTACTGAGTGCTCTTGTAAATCTGCCCCAAAATGTCCTGAATACTCAGGAAGACAGGTGGTCTCCTGACGTATTCTGCAAAATGAAATCATTGAAGAATTCTTTCCTTATTGTACTGAAGTGACAAGATTTCAATGATCTTTTTAGACTTGTGATGGATGATCTAGTCCGAGAAGGGACTTGAGTGGATTTATTTACTGTCTATAAGTACCAATAAGGAAACAAATATTTAATAGTGGGTTCTCAGGTCTAGCAGAGAAAGTTTTAACATGATCCGGTGCCTGGAAGTTGGAGCTAGACAAATTCAGACTAGAATTAAGATGTAAATTTTTAACAGTGCGGATAATTATGGGAGCAATTTACCAAGGGTCGTGCTGGATTCTCCATCTCTGATAATTTTTAGTCAAGGTTGAATATTTTGCTTAACAACATGCTGTATGAATTATTTGGTGAAGTTTGGCAAGTGTAACACAGGAGATCAAGCTGGATGATAACAATGATCCCTTCTAGCTTTGGAATAGGGCTGTAAAATAATCGCAAGTGGGGGCTGCTCCGAAGCACCCGAGTTGTGAAGCTCAGCCATGGACAGAGGCTGCTGCAGCCCTCACCGTTCACATCCTTACTTTGGAATCAGTGAAACTCTTGATATGGCTCCAGGCTGCTTCCTAGGAGTTCTAGTGCTGAAGTCTGACAAGTGACGTGAGTTTGGAGGAGCCTTATATATGGTGCTTTGTGTTCATTGTAGCTTCTGTGCCCCAAATGCACTTCGAAGTTGGGCTCCTTCAGTTGGCGTGGTGAACAGTGTTCGTGTGGCCGCTGGGTGACCCCTGCCTTCCAGATTCACAAGAGTCGGGTGGATGAAATGAAGTCACTGCCAGTTTGTGGACTCCAAGCTGCCAAAACATGAATGCTGGTGCTGGCTTTAATGTCTCCTCTGAGGGTCTTTGAGAATTCTTGCCTGTTACAGTGTATTGCTGTGGTCGCCTCTTTCTGTTAAAATGAAGGTAGCTCAGCTCTGCTAGAACATACTATTGTAGCACAAACTTCTACTGTTTATAAACTGGTGTATTGGTGCAAGAGAGTAGTGCAAGAGGCTAGATGAATCTCCTTGGGGCTTCCAGCACTTCATAAATTTTTAAGAGTCATATGGATTAATGGAAAAAAATCACTAATATCTTTTTGAAAAAACGTTGCTGGTCCATGAGCCTGCAAGTTTGAAGTGCTAATAAACTCCATCTAATCATGACTGTGGTCTTTCAAAATAACTGGTAAGTTGTTAGAACATATTTGACATCTGGAAATACAGAGCAAGAGAGGCAAATTTTGAAACCAGAGTGGTCTTGTGAAGGCTCCTTAGTTTAGGAGGAGGATTCCACGTGGCTTTTGCTCGGGGGCTGTTACTTCCTAGTAGCATTTCTGTAAGGCCAATTCCAAAGGTCCTATTTAACAGCGAATGTTTATGAGAATAAGCTTTATACTGCAGAGCCCACAGTGAAGCCTCCCCAGGAGGCTGCTGGGATGGAGCCTTCCTGCTCCTAAACTGCAGAGCCTGCCAGGAGTGTGGGGCGGCAACTCGCCAGGCAGGCAGAGTTTACCTGATAACCTTAACCAGTAGGGATCATCTTATCAGTTAAACTCTATCATCCCTATGAAGGATAAATAGAAAATTAAATAATTAGGGTTAGCATAAGTGGGGGGAGGGAGAGAGAGCTAGCTAGCTAGCTAAACTTCATTATTTTTAAGGCCAGAAGGAACAAAGGAGGAGGAAATCTGGTTCAAAGAATAATTAATGGAACAATGGAAAGTTTCCTTAAACAAAACCCAGAACTATGATTGACAGGGTGACTGCAGGATGAGACTGCAGGATAAGCCAAAGAATGTCTTAAAATAAGCAAGCATAGTACTTCCCAAACCACATTAAGTGTTAAAGTCAATGTGAACTCAAGTGCAAAGGAGAAAAAAACCAGTTACTTACCTCATAACTGTTGTTCTTCGAGATGTGTTGCTTATGTCCATTCCAGTAGGTGTGTGTGCGCTGCGTGCATGGCTGTCGGAACTTTTTTACCCTTAGCAGCACCTGTTGGGCCAGCTGGAGAGCCCCCTAGAGTGGTTTCGGCATAGCCACGCATATATACCCCCACTGGCCCCAACCCCGCTCAGTTCCTTCTTGCCAGAAAATCCGACGAAGGGGAGGCGGGCGGGATTGGAATGGACACATCTTGAAGAACAACAGTTATAAGGTAAGTGACCATTTTTTCTTCTTCGAGTGCTTGCTTATGTCCGTTCCAGTAGGTGATTCCCAAGCCGTAACTATGGAGGTGGGGTCGGAAGTCTAGATAGTGATAGATTGTAGCCAGTGGGGGTATATATGCGTGGCTATGCCGGTGCCACTCTAGGGGGCTCCCCAGCTGGCCCAACGGGTGCTGCTAAGGGTAAAAAAGTTACAACAGCCGTGCACGTGGCGCATGCACACCTACTGGAATGGACATAAGCAAGCACTCAAAGAGGAACTGTTGGTCAGCAAAAAAGAGGGAGAATTAGGATGAAAGGATTTGGAAAGAATTGTGAATTACTAGAAGATTTACCTGAGTTCTTTGGGTCTCTATTTCTATTAATTTTTGTTTTTTAGAAAATAAAATGAAATTGTCCATGCTTCATTTAATTCCTGGCTCTGGGGTGGGGCTGGGAAGGAGGAGTTCAGTGTGCAGGTTGCCCTGAGGAGAGAGGACTACCCCAGCCCTCTCTCACCACAGCAGCTTGGGGCCAGGAGGGAAGTGCCTCTTCATGGCTGCCGCAGCTCCAGCAGGCACTGCCGAGGGAGGGGTGCAGGTTGTTCTGCCCCCTGCACTCCCCAGCTAGAATGAGGAATGTGGCAAACTGCACTTCCCCTTGCTCCCTGATGAAGGGAAACAGTAATGTTCCCATATGAAGTGGGGGAGAGGGGAGCTTCACACATCCCTGCCCTTCCTATAGGGTGCCTGGGAGGTGGGACACATGGGGTTGGGCAGTCCCAGATGGGGTGGAGATATGGTGCCAACCAGCCAGCTCCTTTCACCTGCCTGGTGGGTCTGTCTCTTTTCTGTTTGGTTTTATGAGAAGCAATCCCATTCCAGGCACATCCCATTTGCCTGACGCAACCAAAACCTTACCTGGCTTTAAGAAAAAGGAGGAAGCCGTATACCAAATGTGGCAGTCCTAGCTTCTACCCTTTAGGGGAGTTCTTGAACAAATAGATGGACACACAAACTCTCAGATACATAATAGATGACTAAACATTCTTAAATGGGATTTAATTGAAGTCAGTAATTGGCAATGACAACACTTGTTTGATAAATGGTATAAAAAGTAAACTCTGAAGGGTGCATTGTTAATACCTGCCTGAGTAGCTGGAAGCTTCCCCATATGGGCCTAAGCCAGTGAGGGGTAGCCTAGACTAGTGAGTGGGACACAGGCTGGCCCTTAATCAGACAGTCTCCTGGGATAGGGAAGTTTTGCTAACTGCACTTGCATAGCTAGAATTTGCAGGGTGTGTCAACTGAACCAGAACAGCGCTTTGGATGCAGAGAGAGCACATGACTCTGATTGTTGCCATCAGCATGCACCTCACTTCATGGGCCCTTGCTTTACATGCCTATCACTTTAATAATCCTGGCAGGAAAACTGTGGACAAAAACCAGCAGAATCTTGCAACCCTGTTCCTGGGCAATGGCAACAAAATGTCTCATAGGCCACACAGGAAACCCCCAATGGGCTGCATGACCCTTGGACCGCAGGTTGCCCACCACTGGTCTAAGCACTCTTGGGTGTAGCCTGTTTGTATCTTAATCAAATGCTTATAAATGTTTTGCTAGTGTTTGGATGCATTAAATCATAGAATCCTGGAAGGGACCTTGAGAGTCCAGTCCCCTGCCGTCATGGCAGGAATCGCCCAAATAGTGGCATTTTATACAATTGCTCTGAACATACCATTTGGACTTTGGACTAAAAGGAATTGCTGATTAAATTAGGGTCATGGTTGTACCCTGCATAAATAATTCAACACTCCCTTAACTTTTTGCCCAGTGGTTAATGCACTTAGCTGGGAGACCCAGGTTCACTTCCTTCTTCAACTTCCCCTGGGGGAACTACTGGCTGATGGGCTATTCTGTTGTGGGGCTCCCTCTGTTTCTCCTCTTGAAGCTCTTCCACTGTAGAACAGTTGGCCAAAAGAGTGTGAATGATTCTGGGGCAGTGGCCCTCAACACCCAGTCTACAGCCTCCCTAGGAGCTGGGGTGAGTGGAACAGGAGAGGGGCGGGGAAGCTATGCTCTGGGGGTGGAGGGTGAGTGAGACAGGAGGGAGCTGCAGCTACCCCTTATGGGAGGCATCCCTGAGTGTTCAGCCAGCTCCAGCAGTAGCTGTTGCTCTCCCTGCCCTCCAGTGGCATAAGCGTGTTACTGTAGGTAACCAGACAGTATCTGGGCAGCCAGGACTGGAAAAGAACTGGGAGCAGAGGAGACAGGAAGGTGCTCTCTTCCTGCCCCCTGGAGGGGTTGTCCCAGGCCTACTGTAGCCCTGACATTCCTCTGTGATCCCCAATTTGGGGACTGCTGCTCCACAGCTTACTGGTTAGGACACCCACATGGGAGACCAGGCTCCCCTCTCTCTGCTTCAATGACTAAAGGTTTAAGATTCTCATTCAGTAACTATTGATACAAGATTGTCAGATATAAATCACCTTTCAATATCCACCATCACCCCGTTTGAGGGGATTTTCTTCAGGTCTGTGGGAGGGATCCCACCTATCCCTCCATTTTAAGATCATCTCAAAATGGCCATCTAAAGATGGGCTTTGGCAAAGAGGACTACTGCCTCTGCTTGTAATGTGCTGCTAAGCTGCCCTTGGAGAAGATGGTCCCTGTGTTGTCAGGCTGGGGAGAGGAACAGGTGGATCGCAATAGGGCCATCTTTGTGAAGGGTAGCTAGCAGAAATACAAGCTCTTGGAGACAGTGCCTGGCATAATGAAGTCTTGGTTTCAGGCCCTGCACCCATATAAACAAGCTATAGCAGCTATTTTTGAAAGAACAGTTGGGTGGGAGAATGTCATTCTTCAATGTCTGAAGGATACAGACCTTTTAATCATTGCTCCAGCTGTCCAAGATTCAGCTACCCATTTGTAAGGATGCCACAGCTGAGATTTGTGGGATAAGTCAAATAGTGTTAATGTCTTGAAGGACACTAATTAATGTACTCCCATACTAATTGCTTTATATGTAAATTCCCAAACTATTCATTTGTAGGTAGGGTATTCTTTAGCCATATTGAATAGCCCTGCTTTAAGTGCAAAGAATAATGTAGAGCAGGGGTTGGCAACCTTTCAGAAGTGTCAGGTCAAGATTTAACTGTCCCCTTAGTGCAAACCCTGCCCCCTCACAGCCTCCTTCACCTCTCCTACCCCCCCCCCCAATATCTGTGCCCCCAGGACACACACTGGCAGGGCAGTAGCACTGGGACTCACAGCCCCCCAGGAGCAGCACTGGGACAAGGCAGGGTTAGGGGACAGTCACTTCCCTGCCCAGCCTTTTGCCCCAGGGCTCACCCCTCACCTAAAGGTGGTGGCTCCAGGGCTGGCTCCAGCCCTTGGATGGGGGCAGCAGGTCACTGGGGAAGGGTCTCCCCACCCATAGCTTAGCCCAGGCCCCAGCTACATGGAGGCAGCAGCAAACCAGCTGCACCACCCCAGTCTGTGGAGCAGGCCCTGCCCAGAGCAGGAGAAGGGAGCCTGTAGCAGGAAGGCATTAGCCCCCAGGAGCTGCACATCCCAGAGACAGGGAGCCCAGTGCCATGTCACCCACCCCCTACGCCATGCTGCATATGCCACAAAAATCTTGCATACCACTTATGGCACAAATGCCCTATGCTGCCAATACCCAATCTAGAGCCTCCTCCATCCAGCTGCTCATGCAGAAATAGAGCCCAGTTTATTATGCTTGGACTCAACACATTTTACTATTGGAGAAGGAATGAATTAGCCAAATAAGACGGGGGCACATTGATCAACCTGCATAGACTACATTTCATAGCTATAGAAACAAAGGCAGAAAGGTACCCCGTGTGCCTCAAACTGAACCAGGCACTCTGGTTTTCATATGCCAAGATGAACTCTGGTGGCTTTAAAGGTGAATCTCATCTTTAGGAAAAATATGACCACCTTTTGCCTGAGGTGACTGAATTTGCATTGAGCCACATTAAGGGAAAGGGCTACAGGCTTGGGAAAAAATTAAACTAGGTCTGCCAAGGTAGTTTTTGGGGACAGGCTCCTCATCTCTTCCTGTGGGAAATGGATGGAACAGTAGGGAACTAGGCAGTCATTTGCACGGGACACTCTGGAGATCTGCACTGAACAGAAGCAAGACTGACTGAAGGAAAAGAGCTTATTTGTAAGTGTTAAACTTAACTTTCAAGCAATGATCTGCTACGGCAAGTCAAAAACAGAATTCCTGCCTAAGCGTAACTTTTAAATAAAAAGAAAAAAATTATCTAGCACTTTAAAGACTAATAAGATAGTTTATTAGGCGATGAGCTTTTGTGGGGCATTGTAAAATGATTTTCTGTATTGTATATCCTTTAATCATGGGGTTCTAGGAATCTTAAGTCAGTCTTACTCTATCACATAATAGATGCTGCTAGATGAAAATCGTCTGTTCCAGGTTTGTTTAGTATTCCTTTCCACAACAGCATGCTTTTCCTTTCTGAAAGAAGTAATGGGTGTGTGTGTGGGTGTGTGTGTGTAACAGTTTACAGTCTGTTCAGACTTTGTGGTATGCTCTCAGTTCCTAGAGGGAGTTTTGATTTTGCATGGAGGTAACAGACCATGAAAAGGAAGAGCACAATACTTTTAAATTCACTTTATTCTCATTGACTTGAACAGTTTTGCACAACTTCCAGCAATATCCATTATGACATTAGGAAGCGCAGATGTTGGCTTCGTTTTATCTATCCTTCATTCCTCCCACACATGTGGAGGAAAAATTTGTAGCAACAGTGAAACATCAGAATTTCAACACTGAAAACAGACAAGACAAAACAAAAAATATATATATATGCAACTGTTTGAACTGGTCACACGTTAGGGCCAGGTACAGCACAATAAATATTAGAACTGCATTATCTTTGACATGTTGTAAAGTTTATAACATCCTCTATTAAAGAAATAGAACATCTGTCCTCTAGCATGGAATGCTACACACACAGTACACTTGTGATGGGGCTGAACAAGGAGGATTCTGGCAAAGGGCTGTATAGCAACTACTCATTTATACATGACCATTCTCCATAGGCAGCATATACAGAAATTAAGTGAACTGTAAACTGTCAGCCATTCACCACCAGAGCACTAGGTCACATTTCTTTGTTTATTTTGGGTGATCAAAGGAAGTTAATATTTTAAAAGCCTTTTAAAGTTTCAGCTGGGCTCCATGCCAGACAAGGCAGAACACAGTATAATTTGGTCCATTGCTGTTTAAAGCTGGTAACTTGCTGAAGAGACTGACACTTGCTCACCATACAGGTGCCAGTTGCAGTGGATACGGTTACACAGCAAGACTAGCTCAAAGGCATTAGCTGGACTAAGTCTGGGATGAATGCTGTGTGGCAAAACACAGTGTTGGATTCCTCCTAAAAGACATCAAAAAGGCTGCCAACTCCTTTATTCATTTCTCCCTTTGTGCAGCAATATGGTGAGTTCTGGCTCTAGCAGGTCAATGAGAAAAGGTTGCTCTGTACTTAGTCCTCATCACAGATCAGCTCTGCTATTAAACAAGGTCAAGAAGCAGCAGAACTGACTGCTTTGGGGACACAAAACACCTCCCAAGTGAAGTGCAAAAAAGTATCACCAGGTTCTCTTGGCATCACAATGAACCTGCCAACAAGAAAGTTTAACATTGAACAGTCCCTCTACAAAAGGGCCTTCCATACACAACTGGACAAACAAATCCAATTCAAGTATCTGAACGGACAGTTTTGGAAACATATGGTGACCTTGACATTGCACTAGAAGATCAATGTTATGGCAGGCAGTGTGCCACTGCAGGAGGATGGCATTCTTGATTCCCTCAAGTGGAATCACTATAGCCTGTCCTGTAGTACAAAGCAATACCACACTTCACCCACTGAAAACAGCTGAGTGTGCCATGCCATTTTCTGTTGGGAGTGGGAAGCAAGAGAACAAAATTCTTGCTGCTGATAGTTGAGCAGCTATGGCTTTGAATTAACTAAAAGTGTAGTCCAACTGTTCGATTTTAGGTATTAGGTAGAAAAATAAATGCTACTTCTCAAATGCAGACTGACACACGGCTGTTTTCACATGTTCCTCCTCTCCGTTAACACCTTGCAGAGTTCCACAATTGTGTTAATACACTTGGTGTAGTACAGGCTCAGTTGGAAGTTCAGAAGGAGAACTGTACCAAAGAATTTTCAATATTATTGGTAGTAGCAGCTCATTCTTGGAAAAATGCAATAAATCTGATTTCAAAGCAGGGGAAATGTTCATTCTTTGCATGATAGTCACCGGCCCACATGCCTTTAACATTACCACCTCAGAATGTACCATATCACTGCACTGAGATCCATGCCTCCTCTACCATTATAACTTACTTGGTTCACTTCCCCCAAAAAGCAAGAGCCTGGACGGTAAGAGATCACATCTATTCAGGAGTGGAAGGGGGGGAAAAACAACAATCCCTTCACCCTACAAGTTTACAATTGCAGTTCCTCACTCACTATCAGACACATTCACACCTAACTCCACCCACCATATCAGACACACAGTGAGGCCAAATACAAACTAAGAGGAATGTTTTATCAAGACCTACTGAGTATGAACTACAACACGTAGGACTGTTATAAACTCAGGTACTCTCCTTTCAGTCTTGCACAGTAGGGAAGCAGAGGGGTTGAGATGAGAAATTTAAATTGAAGGGGATAATTGGAATGAGGGCAAAGCCTAGTCTTCCAGACTACGGAATGCATTCTGCATGTCCTCAAAGAGCTGAGCGTAGTCTGCCTTGATATTTGCCTCGCCGTCCTTCACCGGGTCCTGAAAACACAGCACATGAAAAAGTCAGTCTTGGAAATCCTTGGTTTCCTTACACAGCTTGACAGTCTTTTGCCACTAACTTAACTCCTTCCTGACCTCTGCGTTTACATCCTCTTAAAACAACAGACAGGTTTATGTCTCTCCTTCCTTTTCCACATGCCACACAATCAACAGGATAATGGAGAGTATTCCTAGCCATAATCTAGGAAACAGACCCAGAGGTTTTTTAGAAACGTCTCAGAGGAAAGCTAACAAAAGGATTGAGGTAATGCTTGCACTGGCAGTCAGTGACGCTATGGGACACAAGGATTATACACCATCTCCCCTCTAGCTAGAGCCAACTGCAACAGTTCAACAATCAAGCACACTGCAAGGCTCATCCTCATTATGCAGAGGCCTAATTCCAAACCCAACCCTTTCCATTGGAATTGAGCTAGCCCACGTCCGCAAGACCATGTCCGCTCACCCTCACTTTTTACCAGGAAGCTCTAGGGAGGCCCTATCCATCCTCTGTTTGTAGCAAGAAACTGACACTTGCAGCTACACACCCACTGCAGACAGGCTGGGACAAGCTGAGCTGGTGGATTGTCAGCTCTCCCCTCTCTTAACACTGCTGGATGATATTCCAGTGAGTTTCGCCACTGATGTGTCTGCACTTTCCAATCCACTCCTCCCCCAACATGCCTCTTTAAGGAGTATGTCAACCTGTGGGATGCATGCCGGGTTAATGCCAATAGAATGGGTTGTGCCTCACCTGAAGCAGATTCCTCTTCAGAAGGTACTTTTCATGGGTGTTTCTTTTCTATTCCAAATTGCATGTGTGTTGGATGGACATTGCCCATCACTTACTGCATGTTTGTCACTTAACATTCAAGTGCATCTAATTTTTGGACCTAAGCCACCTAACAGTGTCCAAGGCCACTTGGTGAAGTGACCCTGGTCACAGCAGCTTCCTCTGTGCTCATCCACCAACGCAGTTCTCAGTTCAAAGAGCCGGGGCTACGTTATCAGGTGGCCGCATAGGTATGGGACAAACAGAGATGACTTTTACATCAACCAAAGCAAATACAGTAAGCGTCTCCGTTTGTCAACCATTTCTCCTCCGAAGAAAAATGTGTGTAGGCAACAGGTTTGTACAGGCACTGCAGGCTTCCTAGGACTCTTTATCCCCTTAGCACAGCAAAGCAGCGTCAGTCTCCCTGTTCCAATGCAGCAGGTGGCCATACGGAGAGGCCAGGGAGCCAATGCCCTGCTCCCTCTGTCACCCCACAGACATACCTTGAATTTCATGCTAACAAGTTTCTGGAGGATCTCAGACATATTTTCTCGAATGATGGACCACGTGATCTTATTGTCACTCTGAGCTGTTGTCTCTACCGCTCGGCGTGCCATGTCGTAGAATGCGATCATGTTGGAGAGCATCCCCACGGTCTTATAAAATGGGCAGAACCTGACAGAAACAGGACAATCTACTATGAACAACCAACCACTTTCCCGGGCTGCAGAGAGGCTGGAAATAAAGTGCAAGCTCTGCTGCCTTCATGCCTAACAGAACCCTCTCACAGAGGCTGGAGTCCCTTGATGCCGGGGTAGGGATCTAAGCTTGCTGGCCTATATCACCTCAGAAAGCTACATCACAAAACCCTGGATCTGCTCACTGTATTACAGGCCACACAATTTTCAACAGTGTAAGATACTTCATGGTATGACCCAGGGGCAACGGACCTTCAACTTCAGCCATGAGCAGAGTTGAAGTCTAAAAACAGAGGCCTGGCATGACAGCGTGATCCTTGTATTACAATTCCAAGCTGCAGTGACATCACCACAGCCTCAATTCCCCTCAGCTCCAGTCCCGTGCTTGACTCCATATGGATACAGTGCATTTCAGGATGTTTCCCATCCCACTTTCCAGCTGCTTGGAGGAATGATGGCAGCTCCTATGGCACTAGCACTCCACCCAGCACTAGGAGACCAGGCAAAGCAAGTGGTGCTCTTAAGAACCACCACAGAAATGCAATGTTGATGATGCAATGAACACGGCAAATAGAATCCCTGCCCTAAAAGCATGGCTGGATAGCACAAGCAGCTACAACAGAACACCACAAGAGAGTTGCCATGGGGGGATGCATAACAGCACAGGGAGGTGGGGGAAGGCTGAAGAACTCCATGGATGGCTGCGCCAGACACAAGGGATGGTATGAAAACAGGATACAGATAGACACAGAGGAGCCACTGAGAGAAGATGGAGTAGCACACCAGGCTGGGGAGGGGCTGTAAGAGGAGGTCACGAGTCACAGATGGGCTAAACATGTGCAGTGATAGCAGAGGATAAGTAGCCTGAACCAGATTCTCAGACTGTGTATCCCTGGGACTCTACTGAAACACAGAAAGATTCCTATTGAGGGAGGAAGAAAGTGAACTAAACGGCCCTCTTCTCCCTTTCTGGGGGGATTTCGTTTGTTCAGGCAAAGGGCTTGTTCCTAGCCCGGGTTAATTAGCAGTGCTCATTTCAATAGACAGGATGCTGGGACGGGAGATTCTAGGGGAACTTCTCAACATAGCCAACCCCTACCATGGAACCAGAAGGGCTCTGCATATTGTGCCTCTGGCAACATGGAGGCAATTTGGAACAGCACAGGCTATATTTTCCTAGGAGCGGCTCCTGGATTTCCATGGAAACAGGTTGTGGGTCCATCAAACAGGATCCTCTTTCTAAATAGGATTTCCATCCAAACCTAGTACACAGAAGATGAATGGGACACACACAGCCTCCCGGTGCTCACCTGTCATAAGGGCTATAGCCATTCTGCTGCAGGAAGTCATCTTTGATCAGTTTGGCAACCTCCAGGGTAATTTTATCTGTTTCTGCCAAGGAAGCCTAGAAGGCAAAGTCCAAATTTAGTTTGGTGCCAGGTTCTGTGTATGGGAGGGTTGGGTGTTGGCTCCCTAACTCTGCTAAAGCCCATAATGCCAACCAAACTCGTTTACACCATCCTCTTCATCTACAGGGACGTGGCTTACGTCCCCACTGCCCTTTTCAGGTATAAATACAATGGGGCAAAAAGTTACATTTCCAATTCGCCAAAACAAAGCCAGTTATTCAATCAGCCACCAGATGCCGACAAGCACATGAAGTACAATAGTTAAGATTCCACCGTGCTGAATTCCTGCGGGTGCTAAGTGACATGCTCATGGCCTGCCTGCAGAGCAGCATACAGTACACAGACACAATGCTGTTGCGGCAATGTAAGCCTGCAGATTGGGGAGCCGGCACATCTGCTCTCCAGCAAGGCATCTGAGGGCATTTCAGTAAAACAGGGTATTTAAGAACATCAACAATAAAAAGCAGACGGCTGCAGAATCTGAAGCTAATCCCTGAAGCCAATAGTTGCTTTTCCCCAGTGCACCATTTGCTAATGATGCAAATAAGTCAGTGACAAGAAAATTATTAATTGCATGTGCAGAACCATCTCTCCTCTTCTCCCTCTTCCCGAGCTATTATCTTGCACCATCCATCACTTCATCTTTGCCTCAGTTTTATCCTCTCAAAAGGGGACGACGAGACTCAGGGAATGTTTGAGGGGCTGCTTTCAGAGAGCCCTGCGAGAGGCACCAGAGAAAGCTACAGTATAAAATATTGTTAAGTGTCCATGTAGCTAGGGCTGGCAGTTCTCATCTGAGAGCTTAAAGTGGAAGACAAACAACCTAAACGACCCCTTGTGCATGTGCGCTGCAGCAGTCTCGTACCCCCACCATGGGCTGTTCTCACAGGGCCTCAGCCTTATTCAATATGCCGCTTGGATGGTGCTCCGTGGAGGAAGCAGCGTATGACACTTCTTTCCAAAGAAACCTGTTACGACCACAGCAAAGAATAAGGCTGCACCCATAACACATTCAACTGCTTCCATTGTAACCAATACAAATGTTAAATATTTATAAATAATGGATCTTATCTGGTTGTGAGTCCTGCCTTGCCTCACGCACCAAGTGCCATCTGCACTGTGATCCTGTAACCCAGGGCTAGGCAAGATGTGACCCAGGGCCCACCTAACACCTTGATCCGGCCCATGGACTGCATCTGGCTGCTTTCTATTTATATCCTCCTGCCCGTGCCATTGAATTTCCAGGCAGTGGCTCAGGCAGCAGGATCCTACTTAAATGGCTCACGGCCCCTGGTCACAGTGCTACCCTGGCAGGAGCCAGGCCGTGAGCTCTTTAAATTGCCACAGCAACCCTGCACAACTGCCAGGCAACGCAGCAGCGGCTGGACCGGGAGTTGCGAGTCCTTTGCTCTATGCATGGGTGTTTTTTTTGTTTTGTTTTTACTTCAAAGTTTCCTGCCCCAGACAACACCGAGGAAGGTTAGTGCCCAGCCTCGCCCCTTCTGTGGGGGTGGAGCCACTTGTGACCAGTCCCAAAATTCATTAAGCGGCCCGCCTGTGAAAATTAAGCCCGAGTCCGCACAGTTTTTTGTACCACTTGACCTAGACTAGTTTCCAGACAAAGTAGAACCACCCCCATAGCATGGCTGCGTTTACCCATATCTGAAGGCACTTGTATCTGTGTGACTTGTACACCTTACAGAAATGCTTGAAACATCAATCATGGCCCCTTCTGTGGCTGCTGGATCCATGATTTCTGCCCATTACTTCCCCCCCTTCTCCCCAACTTCTTCCAATGGGAGTTAGTTAATAGGTGTAGGTTAGCGTGGCTTGTGTACGGAGGAAGTTTAAAAGTTATTTATTAAATCTGAACTGATGCTATAAAAATATACCTCGTGCATGGTACATAACAAGTCAGTTTTCAATGGGGTTCTCCTGAAACCTCTCCTCAAATGCAGTTTCTCTGTCCATGTTTCTAGCCCAACATGCTGAGATGCGTTGAGAAACTGAAAAATGCCTGTAGACTGGAAACTCAGGAAGTCACTGTTAATAAGTCTCCAACTCCAGGCCTGATGGCTGCACAGTCACTTTGCAGAGAACAGACATCGCTCTTATCTCTACTTCATTTCATCGGCTGCACTCTGGAACAACTTGGTTTCACACTTTTAATGCAACACGCGTTTCAGGCCTATACCTGGAGCACAGAATTTGGCAGGTCAGTGCAGTGCTTTGGAAACAGCCCTTGTCAGGGCGCTGTAAGAGAAGGGACCTCAGGATACAGCTGCATGGCTGTGAACTGGAATTTCCCCAGAGGACAGGGGCATTGAAAGACTGACAGGGAAACTTTTCAGCACATTTATTAAATTAGAGACTGAGCCTGCTGTTCTAGTTCTAGAGGGAGGAAACAAACGTCAGGAAGTCAGATCACTGCATCCAGAGCCTTTTCCTTTACACCCAAGCAGAGTATTGCAGTTGGCTGCAGTCACACACATTTTCCAGTTGCTTTACAAGCATACTCCTGGGCTGCGAAAGTGGAGCTTTCACCTACTCCTAAAAATTCTTCTGAGCACTCCTTTTTGGGTCCAGTGATGTAATAGTGTAGCTGAATAACTGATAAGCAAAGCTTATAGGTTAATGCTATAGACTACACACATTTCCCTCCCCCGCACCAGTAAATTTTTTAGCAGCCTGGCTCAGTCCTGGCTTGCGATGGGTCCAGGACCTACCCCTGCCGCAGCCCTGCCTTTAAAGTGTATTAGGAGCCAGGCGGGCACACAGCCCGGCTCAGTTCCAGCTCACGTTGGATCCGGGAGCTCAGAACCCCCTCTGAACAGGGGCTGCTGCCACCCTACACTGCTGCTTCTATCAGAGGCAGTAGTGTGGGGCACCCGGGAGGGAAGCTGGTTTTTAAACTCATAGACCAGCTCCCGTCCTGGCACCCCCTGCTGCTACCTCTGATACCGAGGCAGCAGCATGGAGTGGAAGGGGGCTCCTCAGGAACAGGGCTGGAGTGCACTGGCTGCTGGCCCCACCCCTGAGGGCTACAGAATAGTCAAGTAACTGATAAGAATTAATGAGATTAATCGACTATTCAGTTAACCGATATTTAACATTCCTATGATGGAGGGGTCAAAAAAGTCTGAATTAAATACAGCTGGTGGAAGACAAATCTACTTTTCTTCAGAATCTCTTCTTTCTGAAGCATATGACCCAACCCATCAGAAGACAGAACCATGGGCTAGACAGACCATTGGTCTGACCCAGTGTGGCCATTCTTTTGTTCTTAAATTACCACCTTTCCTCCAGGTCTCATTGCCTGCTCGCCAATAACCACACACACTAGCTAATGCTAGCCCCATCTCTGCTAGGAGAGCACCTATAGTCTCTGCCAAAAGCAGTGAAATGGAGGTAGGCCAGTTCTTTGAAAGGTCTCGTTAAGACACCATACTCCCCCTCAGGGTGCTCGTTGCTCACCTTCCCCACAAGCTGCACAATTTCCGCCAGGTCCTCTTCTTCCTGCAGAATCTCTTTGGCCTTTGTCCTCAGGGGGACAAACTCTGTGAAGTGCTTGTCATAATACTCATCCAGGGCCCGCGTGTACTTGCTGTAGCTGATCAGCCAGTTGACAGATGGGAAGTGCTTGCGCTGAGCCAGCTTCTTATCCAAACCCCAAAACACCTGCCAAATTCAAACCGATTCATGAGTTTCCTTCTCAGCCGAGGACAAGCTAGCCACTGAAGACTGTCATAAGCTCCCACACGTTTCTGCATAAGGAGTTTGCTGGAGAGTCACCTCTAGGCCTGATTCTCTTCTAGAAAACAGTCAAAGTCTCAATGCTCCTTTCATTTAGGAATGCAGCTGTCCTCTCCACCCCATTTCACAGTAGAAGGCTGCCATCCTCTGTTTGAGGGGGGCAGGAATACTCCTGGGGAAACAGCCAGCAGGACGGACCTGTGTGGTTCAGGGATGAAGAGTACGTGACCTGGGGATGGGACAGAAGTCCTCGCTAAGCTGTGCTATCATGTGCTGCGTACTTCAGGTGTTCTACCCCTCACTGCCATGCTGTGCCGGCCCTTTGCTGTGGCACAGTGCCCAGAAGCCTCCTGCTTGCAGAGCAGAGCGGGGTGTGTGGGGTGATATCTTGTGCCCCATCCCCACACAGCAGTGGGGGGACACGTCAGGACTCAGGACAGAGGGAGCTTGCCAGCAGCTGCTGCATCTGAACAAGCAGACCTAGAGGCAATGCGCATCTGTCTCTCTCACATACACACACTCTTCCACACTCAACACCCACTTGTATTGTTGTTTCGGATACTTCCTTCAAAGTGTGTTATTTTAGTTTTTGACTGGTCTGTGCATTTCGTACATTTTTATTTCTCTCTCATGCTGAAGATTTAATTGGAGTAGAGAAATCTAAAAATGCCTTAACCTGTCCTGGCTGGAGTAGTTATCCCTGTGGTAACTCTTTTAGAATATCTAGGTTATTGGTTTCCCCTGTTGGCACACATTACCTCAGTACAGCGCACATAATGAAATTCATGCTGCCCATGGATGGAAAAAGTTTGAGGGAACACTGGGTGGCACGTACCTGAACAATGCCCAGCGTGGCAGATGTGACAGGATCGGAGAAGTCACCCCCAGGGGGAGACACACTGAACAGGGAGAGAGACAGCAAAGGCATGATCAGCAGCAGTCACACAGAGCTAGGCTGACACTCCAAAACCCAACACCACAACTTGATACCAGTAGCAACCAAGTTTGCCATCCTCCGCTTCTCCCTTTCAACAAAACGTGAGGATCCTTTGAAACCCACGTCAGAGGATGCACGAAGAGGAGGGAGGACCCAGAATGGCTCTACCCTTGGTGAGCAGTCACATTTTTCTAATCCAGCATTAGACCTTCCCAGTTCTTGACACAAAACAGGATTCAACCACCAAGAGTCCAGGTTTCAAAGCAGGCAGAAAGACCATCAGGATTCTGAACAATGTTCAGAATTCAAAAACACGTCGCATGAGCACAAATCCAAATTTGGGACCACTTATCACTTTCTACTGCAAGTGACACTGCCCTGCTATGCATCCATATCCATCCATCCACCCATTTCCAAACCCCAGGAATACAACTAGACTGGATCTAGTTTAGTTGAGATGATCCAAAAGACCTCCCACCTCCACCTCTCGGCTCCAGGCTGTAATCCAGGATTCATTATAAGGCAGATTAAGTTGTGAGAGAGGAAAATAGCGAGGATTCCCTCACTATAGCCTGAGGTCCACAGAATTTAAAGTGTTTGGAGAGGGTGGTTTGTCACAGAAGATGATGTCTATTCTTGTAGTAATCAATATCACTCCACTACACTGTAGCACCAGACCTCCTGGAGCAATGGACAGGCCCTAGAAACTAGTAGAATCCTGCACCACTTTCAGATAAAGTTAAACTTAAAAGGTTTCCAGTTGCTCAGACAGGTATATGGATGTCTGTGTGAATAGGGACAAGGAGTACAGAAGAATCAGAGACATTCCTGCAAGTCTAGGGAAAGCTTTCTAATGCCACACTGAAATC